CAGAGCCATTGTTTCCTTGTTGATTTTCTGCCTACATGATCTGTCTTTGCTCTAACTGGGATGTTGAAGTCCTCTTCTATTATGGTATTATTATCAGTGAGTTTCTTTATGTTTGTGATTAATTGATTAATATATTTGGGTTCTACCACATTGGGGTCATAAATATTTATAATTGTTAGATCTTCTTGCTGGATAGACCCCTTAATTACCATATAATGCCCTTCTTCATCTCTTGTTACAGTCTTTATTTTAAAATCTAGTTTGTCTGATGTAAGTATAATTACTCCAGCTTTCTTCTTGATGACTATTTGCATGATAGATGGTTCTCCATCCCCTTACTTTCAATCTGCAGGTGTCTTTAGGTCTAAATGAGTCTCCTGTAAGCAGCATATAGACGGGTCTCATTTTCTTATCCATTCTGATACCCTGTCTTTTGAGTGAAATGTTTAGTCCATTGACATTTAGAGTGAGTACTGAAAGATATGAGTTTAGTGCCATTGTGTTGCTTGTAGAGGGTGTTTCTGGTGATGTTCTGTGGTTGTTTCTAGTCTTTGTTGCTTTTGGTCTTTTTTGTTTTCTTTTGTCTTCTCTCCAATCAAAGGGTTCCCCTTAACATTTCTTGCAGGGCTGGTTTAGTGGTCATGAACTCCTCTAGTTTTTGTTTGGGAAACTCTTTATCTCTCCTTCTATTTTTGAATGACAGCCTTACTGGATAAAGAATTCTTGGCTGCACATTTTTCCGGTTCAGCACTTTGAATATATTCTGCTACTCCTTTCTGGCCTGCCAAGTTTCTGTGGATAGGTCTGCTGCAAATCTGATTTGTCTTCCCTTATAGGTTAAGAACATTTTTGCCTTGCTGCTTTCATGATTCTTTTCTCATCTGTGTATTTTGTGAATTTGACTACGATATGCCTTGGTGATGGTCGGTTTTTGTTGAATCTAATGGGAGTTTCCTGGTTTTTTGGATTTTGATGTCTACGTTCTTCTCTAGAGTAGGAAAGTTTTCTGCTTAAATTCACTCACATACACCTTCTGCCCCTTTTTCTCTCTTTTCATCTTCTGAGACTCCTATGATTCGAATGTTATCCCTTTTTAATAAGTCACAGAATTCTCCAAGTCTTGTATCGTGATCTTTTGCTCTGTTTACCTCCTCTTTTCTGCTTCATTATTCTCGTTATCTTCTAAATCACTGATTTGCTGCTCTGCCTCATCCATCCTTGCCATCGTGGAATACATTTGAGATTGCATCTCGGTTATAGCACTTGTAATTTCATCCTGACTAGATTTTATTTCTTTAAATCTCTGCAGGAAGGGATTCTATGCATTTGTCAACCCCAGCTAATATTCTTATTATTGTGCTTATAAATTCTAGCTCAGACATCTTGCTTATATCTGTGTTGATTAAGCCCCTGGCTGTCATTTCTTCCTCCTCTTTCTTTTGGGGTAAATTCCTTTGTTTTGTCATTTTGGAAGAAGAAAAAAATAAAGTGAAAAATAAAAATGAAAAAATCAAAAATCAAATAAAGGAAGCTATATCCTAGGTGTGTTTTTAGTCTGCTTGTTGAAGGAATCTTGATAGAGAAAAAAGGGAAAGAAAAGAAAAATAAGACATTTAAAGATTTTTTAAAAATAGATAAAATAGAATAAAGTGATATAAAGAAAATGAAATAGAATAAAAATTTTAAAAAAGTAAATGTAAAGTAGAAAAAATAAAAATAAATTTTTCTCTTTGTGTCCACTAAAGAGAATGAAACGAAAGAATGAAAAAAAACCAATTTAATCAAAAACAAGCAAAAAAAACGAATGCAAAACAGCAAACAGAATGAAACCTAATGAAGTTGCATCCAGTTTCCCCTAGAACTGAAACTTTGAAGCCCTGTATAGTCCATCTGTTCACTAAGTATGTGATGTGACTTCTGCTGGTCTTCTGGTGGATGTGCTTGGAGGGCGCAGTTGGGCGGGGCTTGGTGTAACAGCTCTATTCTCCACTAGGTTTCACTGCTTAGCTTACTGTGGTTGTCATTGTTGTGCGCAAATGTGTGCAGAGAGTGGAAATGGCTTCACCCAGTTCCCTAGTCTCTGGCACAGGAATGTTGCACTTTCACCAGTTCACAATCAAGCACCCCTCCTTTGTCTCAGGGCTCTGTCCACCTTCAGCCTCTACCCTCTGCGTGTCCCAAGCTGTCCGCCTGCCAGGCAGCACCTCCCTCCAGAATTTTATATCAGATGGGGTTGTGTTTCAAATCCTCACACTTCAGAGACCCCTCCGGCTTGGACCCATGCTGACTCCCTGTGGGAGGTTCTTGCTGAGCAATGGCTGGGTGCGGGATTGCCCCTGAAAATGTTCATGCGATCGCACAGCAGAAGAGGGTCAGAGATTATGTCAAATCACAACACAGCTGTTACTGGGTTTCACCACACTGTGGTGTCTTTGTCCCAGTACCAGCGAACATGGCTGCCCTCTGGGGTCTGCTGGGACCTTTGCCTGTTGGCAGGCCTTGTGGCCTCTACCAAATGCACTCCAAGCAGGGGAGTCACTTCTCCTGGGGTGGCACATGGACCCCTTAGATCCCTCTGCCTGCTCCTGGGAATCTACATCCTTATTTCTTCACCAGAGCACCAGGCACTGAGTTTCGGAACTTTAGACTCTGGGCTCCACTGTTTATATAATCCTGATGGTATTGAAACCCTCTCCTTTCTTCCTGTCAGTGGTTTTGGGGAACACATTTCTTGTTCAGTCCCCTGCAAGTGTTTTCACTCTTTCTCTCTCTTTCTCTCCAGCTACTTGCAGGGGAGTGTTTTTCCTGCACTCTTCTCATGTGCTGCACACTCCCCTTTCTCTGTCTTCTCTCTGCAAAAACAGTTTCCTACCCTCCATGGCTTTTCTCTTCCCTAGTTCACCTCTCTACAGTGTGTATCCGCTGAGTTCTGTAGCTCAAGTTATGCAGATTGTTGTGTTAATCCTTAGGTCAATTTCCGAGGTGTTCAAAATGGTGTGATGTTGATCTAGCTGAATTTCAGGGACAAGGCAAGCTCAGGGTCTCCATACTGCTCTGCCATCTTAACTTCTCCCCTCTGTATTAGCCAAAATTTTCATAAGGAAGCTTACTGTTACGTTTTTAAATTATTTGATAGAGAATATATATTAATATTATTTACTATAAAAGTTATAACATAAGACCTAAGATTGTCTTATGGTTGTTATATATGATTAACGAAATTTTATTTTCCCATTTCCATGGGTTATTTTATTATATAAATCTGAGGTTTATTAAAGTTTCTTCTAGTCAAAAAACATAAAACTAAAGAAAATACAACAGTGAATCACATCTCTGTATATAACCTGATTTTGCATGTAAGTGCATAAGAAATTGGCCAGTGCAATTTTAAAGCTTCATTCATGCTTATTTCAAAATAACAGAACTATGAGCACAGAGAATCAGAACTTTCTGAATTTCTAAATAATGATGACAAAAGAAGAATGTTAACTTCATAATTTTTGAGGATTATTTTATATTGTCAGAACTTTGCCAGTAATAGGAAAATTTTTATTTTCTTTTTATTTATTTATTTATTTATTTAAAAAAAATTTTTTTTTCAACGTTTATTTATTTTTTGGGACAGAGAGAGACAGAGCATGAATGGGGGAGGGGCAGAGAGAGAGGGAGACACAGAATCGGAAACAGGCTCCAGGCTCTGAGCCATCAGCCCAGAGCCTGACGCGGGGCTCGAACTCACGGACCGTGAGATCGTGACCTGGCTGAAGTTGGACACTTAACCGACTGCGCCACCCAGGCGCCCCTTTATTTTCTTTTAAAAAAATAGCATCTTGTTCTTATTTATGGCTATAATATATACTCACATATTTCTAAGGATAATAATTCAGTTTTTAATAGTTTTCTTCTCTTACTTGTTTTCTCTGGTACTTGTTCTAAGCTGGTTATTCTACTGGATGTTCTAAAAAATCTGCTGGTACCTTGTTCTCTATAATCAAAGGATGAATAATATAAGGACTGTGTAGGTAAGTGTAGTTCTATGCCTTCATCCCTGGTAGAACATTTGAGGGAGGCCCACTTATGTGTGATTAAATTGTTAACAGGTATTATGGCTCACTTCACTTATACTTCTTTTCAGGGGTCCTGGTCCAAAATTATTTTGCAGAAAGGAAAATCATTCTATTATACATTATAGATAGAATCTTATTCTTGTTTTGTCTTGCTCTCAAGAATAGAGTGATTATAAAACAGTAGTTAGGGGTGCCTGCGTGGCTCAGTCGGTTAAGCATCTGACTTCGGTTCAGATCATTATCTTGTTTGTGAGTTCGAGCCCTGTACTGGGCTGTGTGCTGACATCTCAGAGCCTGGAGCCTGCTTCAGATTCTGTGTCTCCTCCTCTCTCTGCCCCTCCCATGCTCATGTTCTGTCTGTCTGTCTCTCTCAGTAATAAATAAACGTTAAAAAAATTTAAAAAACACCAGTAGTTAGTGTCTTTCTAACTACTGGTGAGAAACAGGTGAGAATGATCTAAATGACGTCAAGAATACAAGGAACTGAAAACTTCTCTTCCCAATAAAACTGTGTATTTCATAAATCAGATAAATTAGTCAAAATACTGAGTTTTTAAATGGTAAAAAATATTCTTGATTTGATTGTTAAAATAAATTTTGAATTCAAAGAAGTATTTTTCAGGCCTGTTTATAAGTTGAGGAATATCACTAACTTGATCTTGTTTTTAAATTACTGGAATATCTGACTTATTTAAGAAGTTGATTTATTCCTGTTCTGAGAAAGCCATTCAATAAAATCAGTTTCTGGTACCATGGAAGTTTGTTTTTTGTTTTTTTTTTTTTTTTATTTTATATTGACCATGTATGGATTGTACTGCTCTGTGGTCTCTAGAAGGAGATTATATGTTAGAGTGTCCAAATGATTTGTGTAGTTCAATTTTGTATTATCCATTTGTTGACTTTTATATTTGTGTATTTATTCTTGCCTTGAAGGAAAATCTAAATGTCAAACTGGTGGAAAATCAAAGAGGACAATTCAAGGCACACATAAAAATACCAAACAGGTACAGCATATACAACTTTCTACTTATAGAGTTTTAATTTCATTGAGACAATAAATATTGTGTATTTTGTCTTTATGTAAAAATCATTGTAACATTCTTTAGTTAACAAATGTGTGTATAGTACTGTATACCCAGCTCGTACTAAATACTTTACAAATATAAATTTATTGCTGCTTGTCACAGTCCTTCAATGTTGGCATTATTATCTTCATTTAAAAAATGAGGAAACTGAGGTAGGAAGAAGTTCTGTAACTTGCTAGTGAGTGACAAAGCCGAGATTTGAACCCATGCCATTAATTTCTAGTTTATGCTCTTAATGCTTCTGCTACACATCCCATATTTGTGAATTCTTTATGATTTTCTTTCTTGGTATGACAGTGTCTTTAGGTTGTAGAATAGTAAGAGTATTGTCTCTAAAAATTTTCACATTGCTTTACTAAAATTTGGAGAATGCAAGCCTACTTTATTTAAAAAAATTTTTTAGCATATGAATAGCTCGCTTTTTAATTCATAGTTATTTTCTCTTAAAGCATAGTTATATATGCTTTTCATATGTATTATTTTGGTTTTGATATTAAATATACCAATATGATTCTGTAAGCCAAAAGCTTCATTCACATAAGGAAAGCAGGAACTTCTAATCAAAATGTCATTGTGAGTTCCTAAGAAAATCCCTGACTCCTCACATACAGTGGTATCAATGATAAAAAAATTAGTTTTAATTAAAAAGATAAAGGATTTTCAAAAATAAGATAACCATCTCTGTGGATCAGAAGTAAAACAAACACATTGACAGGTAGGTGGAGTTGGGGATGTGAACCTAATCAACAAATCTTAGGGGTAAAGGGGGTTGAAATGTCCTGATTATGATGGGAAAACAGATGGAGGATATGGTATAAAATTTTAGGCTTGTGTGGGGTTCTACATTAGAAGCAAAAAAAGCTACAATCTTCCTGGGGTTGTGCCCTGTGAATTGATGTCTGAAGCAGTACAAGGGAGTAGCCTGTGGTTTATGACAGGATCTGTATTCTTGAAGGGTGAGAGTTTTAAGTCCCCAGTAAAAGACCTCTGGAAGTGAGATCACTTCCAGAGTGGGCTAGATGATGGTCATCATAACACTAGTGCACATGGAGTGAGGGGAGCAAAGTGAAGAACAAAAATATGAGAAATTCAGACTCAAAATGAACTTGTGATGTAAAATGTCAAAGCACATGAGGAGAATAATGTTATAGATAACACATTCTGTGAATGAGGTAATGAAAAGGCATTTTCCTAGAGAAGACTTGCAAATAGCTTAAAGTTCTCAAAGGAAAGAATAACTACAAAGAAAAAGGAAAATTCTTAAAGAATACAGATGGATATTAATTTTGAACATTTATGGATGAAAGTGAACCAATTAGAAATCTTATAAATGAAATGTCAATGAAATTAAAAAAAAAAAACATAATTAATGGAGTAAATGTTGTATTGGACAAAGGGAATTTGTGAATTGGAAGACACTACTGTGGAGAATTTAAAACATGTCTCAGAGACCTAACGAGATGGAAAATAAGAAAGATGGATTCCAGGACTGTTGAAAGTAGAGAATAAATAGTGGGCATTGAATATTTGAAAAGATAATGTTGAAAAATTTTCTCATTTTGAGTTCCCAAGAGCTTCAGAGCATAACTGTAGAGCTGAGCAGGGTAAGTAAAAAGAGATATATTCCTAGCTACATTTTAGGGAGTCTGAAGAATGTTAAAGTTAAGGAAAAAAAATCTTTAAAAATACCAGGAAGTCGGGGCGCCTGGGTGGCGCAGTCGGTTAAGCATCCGACTTTGGCCAGGTCACGATCTCGCAGTCCGTGAGTTCGAGCCCCGCGTCGGGCTCTGGGCTGACGGCTCAGAGCCTGGAGCCTGTTTCCGATTCTGTGTCTCCCTCTCTCTCTGCCCCTCCCCCGTTCATGCTCTGTCTCTCTCTGTCCCAAAAATAAATAAACGTTGAAAAAAAAAAAATAAAAAAAAAAAATTTTTTTTCCCAAAAATAAATAAACGTTGAAAAAAAAAATTTAAAAAAAAAATTTTTTTTCCCAAAAATAAATAAACGTTGAAAAAAATTAAAAAAAAATTTTTTTCCCCAAAAATAAATAAACTTTGAAAAAAAAATTAAAAAAAATTTTTTTTTCCCAAAAATTAATTAACGTTGAAAAAAAAATTTAAAAAAAAAATTTTTTTTCAACGTTTATTTATTTTTGGGACAGAGAGAGACAGAGCATGAACGGGGGAGGGGCAGAGAGAGAGGGAGACACAGAATCGGAAGCAGGCTCCAGGCTCTGAGCCGTCAGCCCAGAGCCCGACGCGGGGCTCGAACTCACGGACCGCGAGATCGTGACCTGGCCGAAGTCGGAAGCTTAACCGACTGCGCCACCCAGGCGCCCCCCCCAAAAAAATTTTTTTTTTAAATAAAAATAAAAATACCAGGAAGTAAATAAAACTACAGAGGAATGACAGATTAATAGCCTTATTATGAACAAAAGGACAATGAAGCAATATATTCGAAGTTTTAAGACAAAATTACTTTTAACCCAGAATTCTATGCTCAGCCAAGTGCAAGAGTAAAATAAAGCCATTTTTAGATATTTTAGACAAAGACTAAGTGTTTGCCACCCACTGACCCTTAATGAAGGGACTATCAAAGATGAACTTGAAGAAGAAAAGGTAACGTGGAGGAAGGAGCGTGATAAAAAGGTATGTGTAAAATATGTTTGTAAATCTTACTAACAGTTGATGGTTTGAAAACACACACAATTAGATTCAGAAAAGTGAACTTTAGTTTTAGACAATATTAACATGAATGCTAGATTGTAGGGAGTTAGAATGGAGTTAGAGTGATAAAATCCTTGTCTTATTTAGGAGGAAGTTTTTGTTAGGAAAATATGAAGTAAATGTGTATGATAAAAAGGCCATCTACTAAAAGCAGCCATGATTTCCAAATAGAGGAAAAGAGGAAGTAAATAAATCAAAGCTTTTCAACCCCGTAAAAGGCAAGAGAAAGAAAAGAAAAATTATGGTAAATAAAAAACAGAAAAGATGGTGGTGGATATTAAGCATAAATATATTAGCAAACATAATATGTGTAAACTGATTAAATTCACTACTTACAAGTACTGTGTGTTAACTGGTTGTGTCACTGGAGCTGCACACGTTAAGTTCACCACTTAAAAGGCAGTTGATTGAACTAAATCTCTCATTTCAAATTGAGCTATATGTTGCTTACAAGGGACACATTTAAAACTTCAAGGAAAGACAAAAAACAAAGGGATAGAAAAAAATCCAGGTAGATACTTGGTATTCTAGATATACTCTAAAGTTAGTATAGCAATACTCAGATCAGATGGAATTCAACATGAAATGCATTGACAACATAAAGATGGTAGTTGCATAATGGTAAAAAGAATAATCATCTATGGAGTATAAAAATAGTAAATTTTTATGTACCTTGCAGCATAAGCTTGAAATAAGTAAAGCCCAAACTAACAGAATTATAATAGGAAATGTACATTCATAATCATACTAGGAAATATTAATATCTCCTACTCAGAAACTGATAGATCAAGCAGAAAAAAAATAGTAAGGTTATAGAATTAGTACAATTATGTTACATCTCACATAAATAAATATATGTGTGTGTATTGGCACTCAAGAAATAGTGTACACAGAACATATATGCAAAAATTGACCACATACTAGGTCGTAAGGGTAGTCTCAATAAATAGAAGTCAGAGAAGTCAGAACATGTTCTTTGACTGTAAGTGCAATTAAATTAGAAAAAAAATGGAAGGATATTTTAATATCATATACAAAAAATAGATTATTGATGGACTAAAGCCCAAATGTGAGAACAAAAATTTAAGACTATCTAGAAAGATATTTTTTATTACCTTGAAATAGGAGAGACTTTCCTAGATAAGACAAAAAACACAATTCATGCATAAGTTATGTAAAATTAAATTTATATGTTAAAAAACTCAGTTAAACAAAACTAAAGGTAAGACTGGGAGAAGATACTATATATCAGAATTTATAAAGAGCTAAGATTAATCAGAAAAAAAAACCGTAAAAAATTGTGGGAAACCTGAATAGCTTGTAAACCTGTGAAAAGATGCTTCGTTTTAGTAGTAATCAGGGAAATGCGTCTTGTGAAACCTTGCCACTTTGCCCTCTAGAACTAGGTTCATCATCAGCATATCTTCTGTATTCCACTCTTCTCTTGAACATTCCTTTTACCTTCTTGTTTTAAAACTAAATCCCAACTGACTTGTGAGGATCCTTGCTTCCACGGTCTTTAAGTAATAGCTGCAGCACTTCGATCTCTGGTTGTAGAGTTTGGTTAGGTTTTCTGCCTTTCCTTACTGCCATTTCAGAGAATTCTCCCTTCTGTCTCCTAAAACTCCCTGGATCTGAAGTGTGTGCTATCAGACTATACCACCTGCGTTTCCTTCTTGTAGTTGCTGACAGACTTCTAGGTCACTTTTTATTCCTTGAAGATATAATTTCCAGGCCCACTGCAGGCTCTCTACCATCACTGCCATCCTCTCAATTCCTTGCATTTCTTTCTTTCAGCAGTCTTATCTTCTACTCATTTCCATGGTCACACTCTTGCCTTGTCCTTACTGATAACTACTCTTCCTCCAGTATCTCAGTCTCCATCCCTCTTCTATGTGTCATCTTTCTTTCTACCTTACTTCCTCTGATCTCCTGACTCTAATTGTTCTTCAACCCCATATAATCTGTAATTTATTGATCTTGCCACCCTTTGGCTCTCTTTCATTTTCCATATGTCTACACTTCCCTGAAAATCCACCTGAGATTCTGTGGTTTGTCTGTCATAATCATTTTCCTGCATACTCTCTTGACTGTCTTACTACCCTGCCCCTTGGCAGTATATGCTTGGCAGGACTGTCCTGTTTAAATCTACCTTTCTGCCTGTTGTCCTGTGTATACCTATGCATTTTGAACATG